GTATGTGAACGTCACAGCGTCGCTAAATAGGTCCCAGTCCTTGGGATGGTCTCCAACATATTTTCGCAACGCGGAAGTCAGCGTGCGGTTAAACCTCTCAACTTGGCCGTTGGCTTGCGGGTGGTACGTAGTCGTGAACACATTGCGTATGCCGAGAATTCGGCAGACGTTCTGAAAGAATCGGGCCGTGAACTGTGTTCCATTGTCGGACAGCAGCTTGACCGGCGGTCCGTACACGAATACCCAATGGTGAACGAAGGCTTGTGCGATGTGCGCAGCTGATATCTTCTTCAACGGTACGGTTCGTACCAGTTTCGAGTATCGATCGCTGATCACGAGAATATACCAATTTCCTCGTTTAGTTGTAATTAGCTCGCTGAGGATGTCGATGGCGACAAACTCCAGCGGAGCTTTGGGCGTGAACAGATTCATTTCCTTCGTGTTTCTTCTTAACTTCACCCTTTCCCGCGCACATGCGGCGCAATTCTTCGCGACTGCATAGCAGTCTAGGGCCATCGTAGGCCAGTAAAAATATCTTCTCAATGTCTTGTAAAGTTTCCTGCCTCCCGGGTGTCCTGTCAATTTTGCGTAATGGCTTAACCCTAGGACGCGGTCCCTTAACGATTGTGGTATCACCACTTGTACAAACTCTGCCGCGGTACGGCATAGAGTTCCTTCGAGTTCCTCGGTCTCCATGCTGAACGTTCTCACCTTTCCGGCGTCCATTTCTTCCTTGATGCGATTGCAGAAGGGGTCGACGGCTTGCTCGCGAATGAGCTCCTCCGGAGTGACAGCTTGGAATTGATCGAAGCGCTCAGGGGCGGTCCCCCCCTCAAGAGCGAGGATGTCGTCTATCGCGTCAAAACTTTCCTCGTCCTCCACTGTACCCTCGGCCGGTTCGGCCATAAAGCATGGGATTTCGTCGTCGATTTCGTCGACGGTTTCTCCTGCAGTCCGCAATCTTGACAGGGCATCAGCTTGGCTGTTAGCCTTGCCCTTCTTGTACTTGATTTCGAAATCAAATTCCGAGAGGCGGAGCCTCCATCGGATTAATCTCCCGCTGGGTTCGGTTACGTTCATCAACCACCTCAATGAGGCATGGTCGGTATGCACAATGAAGTGCTCGCCATATAGATATGGTCTTAAAGTCTGTACGGCCCAAATTAACGCTAGAAATTTGTATCTTTTCTGAAACAGAATAGTTTCTCTCGGCTGCGGCTAACGTTCTTGAAAAGAACCCGATGGGTTTACGTTGCGCATCCGGATGCGTTTGAAATAATGCAGCGCCAATTTGATACTCGCTTGCATTGGTGTCTAACGAGTATGGTAGGTCCTTCTTCGGCAGCGCCAACACCAGTGGTGCCAAGATAGCGTCTTTGAGCTTATGAAAAGCTTTTTCGCACGGTTTGTCGAATCCTGCCAACCGGACCGGTTGTCCTTTCTTCAATAGTTGATTGAGCGGATGAGCGCTTTTCGCGTAATGTGGGACAAACCGACAGTACACATTACAAAGTCCCAAGAAGCTTCTGAGCTGTGTCTGCGTTGGAGGGTACCTCACTTGTTCCAACGCCTCGATGCGAGCCGCATCAACCTGCAATGTACCTGGCCGAACGAAATTGCCCAGGTTCTTTATCTTTTCGACGAAAAATTCGCACTTGCGAAGCTTGAGCTTCACACCTGCCTTCTCCAATACAGACAGTATTTCATCAACATGAACAATGTGTTCTTACCAAGACTTGCTGAAGATTATTGCTTCGCGGGCGCGTGCGGCGCCTGGGTCTAGATCCGTGTACATCTACACACCCCTCATCCCTTCGCATTCCACCGCGTTACCAGACCGCTTGCCCGCCGTTTACTCTGAACCGCATCCGCGCACGCTTCCTCGCCGTAGCTTGGTCTACAGTAGTGCGCGTGACCTCACCACGAGTGGGAACACAGCGACATCTTTGTTAATTTTTAGAGTAGGAGAGCTACATTAGATTCTCCATAAAAGGAGCGCGTGGGTTTGCGGAGTAGGAGTTCCAAGGGAGGCAGGCACAAACAACCTGATAACTGAGGTGCGTCTCACCGTTGGACCTACAAAGTGAGTCGACAGTAGAACCGCTTTACAACATTTAATAAAGTTTCTTGAAAAACTTTCAAAAAGTATGTCATAATTAGTCAACATTAAACTAAACCACTAAAAGTACTAACAGTAACAGAGGATGTTAAACCACTAAAAGTAGTAACAGTAGTTTTAGTGGTTTAGATTAATGTTGACTAATTATGACATACTTTTTGAAAGTTTTCAAGAAACTTTATTAAATGTTGTAAAGCGCTTCTACTGTCGACTCACTTTGTAGGTCCAACGTTGGGAGGCGCCTGGGTTAGCAGGTGGTTTGTGCCTGCCTCCCTTCGAACTCCCACTCCGCAAACCCACGCACTCCTTTTTATAGAGAATCTAATGTAGCTCTACTAGTCTAAAAACTAACATATGCAATAGATTGTGCAACTACTTTGGAATTACACGTGTGCATGGAGAATTATTTCTCATAAACCGTTACAACGTCGACACCAGATGGCGTGCATTGCTGGACGAGGGATTCACACAGCTTTCCAGTGCTCACCGCTGGGACTGCCACTGAACGCCAGCACTGCTGGCAGTGCTGGCACCACATCCGTCCTGTAATTTACAGTAGCCAAGGGTACCGTGCGGCATCGGCAGCTCCCGTTCGGAAGCCGAGTGTGAGCACTGCCCATGAGGGCCTCTCTAAGGAGTGCAAAGGCCGCACGGCCGGTACACGGCGAAACCGCGGCAACGGCTGCCCCGGCACGCACCTCTGGCGACGCGGACGGGATGTGCCGCGAGGCGCGGGCGGCAGCGAGTCGCGGCGGTGAAACAGCTTGTATCCTACGTACCCTTCGAAGGGTAACATTACCGCCGGTGAACTGGTGCGCGTTGTGCAGCGCCCATCGGCGCATGTCCGCCACGTCGCTCTCAAGTCCCGTACTGTAAGCAGGAGAGAAGGCCCCAATCAACGAAGTGGGAGCCTCTTCCCGCCCCACTCGCGAGCCTCAACTCCCCCCCCCACCATCCCTTTCCTATTTCCCGCCATCCCCAACC